GTAAGACGGAGTCTATATTTGTGTAACATAAGCGAACTTTGCATTCACGAGAAGTTTTCTCTCCGTATTTTGTTATTTATTACACTAAAGCAGGGGTCGGCAACCTTTTGCAGCGTTGGGCCGAGCCGTCACGAAGCCGACACGGAGGGGGCCGGACGGCAAGTCGCGAAGGAGGGGGGGGGGGGGGGGGGGGGGCAGGAAGTGAAGAGGTCTTCTGCCCAAGTAGCCGAACAATGCCAGTTGGAAGCTCTCCTTGTTCCTGTCTAATACCTATAGTTACACGGACGCTTTGAACTTTCGTTGAGCCTATGACAGTTATCGGCCCCAACTGTGATTGAAATGAACTGAGATGGTACTACACGGCTCTCTAGAACCCAGTTGAAGCTAAAACGAAACTAGTTCTTGAGCCACGTGATCAGTCTGATTGTTGAAGTAATTTGCTCGGAGAGACACCTTTTATTTATTATAAGTATATCGTGCAATATGTTCAACACCTTGTTGTTTCTTAGCGGCTTTTACACGAGTGCCAAGGCAGATTCAGGGCTAGATTGCGCATATTTTAGGCTATGTGATGCAAGCTACCGCCCGCTACGATGGGTGCACCCATTGTTATTTGTCCATTTGTACAGATGGTTCCTCCGCCATCTTCCCTCGTTTGGTGGTTTGCCGGCTAGCCGGGGTCGTTTTAGCGACTGCTCGGACGCCTAAAGCTATTCCTTCCCGGAAATTTTGCTGCTGCAATTCTTTCTAGACGCCTCCTCCTGGATTCCGAAACAGTAAGCGCCTCGCAAACGATGGTCGGCGGCAGCGGTCCCGCGGACAGGCGCAATTTTACCTCCGTTGGGGAAGTCCGTTCAGTTGAACTGATGTAGGGGAGCTCATTTGAACTCAATTGTCATTAGCGGCTCGATGACAGTTTGCGCCGTCGTGTAACTCCGGCCGATCGCGATTGAGTTAACTGTCGTTTGCTTATTACAGATAAGCGCCCTGGTGTAACTAGAGAATAACACCATCTGTGGTCCTAACTTCCGAGTGGTTCTTGGGTCTGTGAGGAAGCTGCCCGGGGGAGGGGGCGGCAGGGGGGGGGGACGTTTTTTTTTGGGGTCGTGCCGGTGGCCGCATGCAAGCCATGGGTTGCCGATTCCTGCACTAAAGGATTGTGATATAAAAATGTCGCAATTGAATTATAAACAGACGCACACCATTTATACAATAGAAGCAGCATATTGTGTGTATGCGAATGAATAACGCGGAGTTAGTATTTGATACGTCGCAGCAATTCCAGGCTCATAAACGAGTTCTTTTATCTTGTAGTTTAGGTTTATGTAAGCGTGACGACTGTCTAGAGAAACGAAGACTCCTGACATGCTCCGCGCGAAGCACACAGGTCCCCCGTACCAAGCAGAGATAAGCTCCATCGACGGAAAGACTTGTGTGCTAAGTAAACATTCGCGGTGTCCGCCAGTTTTCCTAATTCCATGGTATGTTCTTTCTTCAACCGCGATGGCATTGAATCTTGCACTAAAACTGGAGGTGGCAATCGGTAGGAACACGTACAGAAGTTCCAAATTATGACCAAATCACCAATTGGGTAATCCAGCTTCCATATATATATATATATATATATATAACGGGCATGGTGGCGGGAGGCCGAAGGCGTGGGTATAAAACTGAGAAGAAGGAGTCCGGCCTTCCTGACGAAGGCCGGACTCCGGCCGAAACGTCGAAGATTAAATCGTCCGTTGTTGCTGTTTTTCACTAAGGGTTTATATATATATATATATATATATATATATATATATATATATATATATATATATATATATATATAATATGACATTATTGACATATAATATATATATATATATATTATGACAATATATGATCTTACTTCGTCTTGATTAGGCCATATATAGAATTTCTGCACGAGAGGGCTTTCTGCTTTTCTAAGGTTCGGTAAACCTCCTTGCACCTCGAATTAGCCTGTATACTTGAACAGGCTTTCATGCGTTTTTTACATTGTGATTTCATCCCATGGGCAATTTTAAATCAAGATATAGAGAGTGTACAACTGATATGTATAAATGTCCGGAAGTTAGTTTCTACTAGCAGCTTCTTCTTGAAAACATACATCTAAACCATAACCTGCAACACGTCACGACAATTAGACTCTCAAAAACGTAGCATTCACGTGGATTCACAGGCAACAAAAGTAGATGTATATACAGCGATAACCCGGATCAAACTAAAACATTCCACCCAAATAGAAAACTGTCACTTAAACTGAATGACCGTATCTTATAGTCTATAAGTCGCACCCCCCATAAAAAATGCTTACCACAAAAAAAAGTTGTTATATAAGTCACACATTTGAACAAGTCGTGCTTATATGCTTGTACGTTCGGCGCGGAAAAACGGCATTCATAAGCTCGCGAATGTGTATTCTGATCGCGATATATACTCAAGCGAGGCCAGTTTCCATTATCTCGCCAACAAATCAAACAAATATTACAACCCGCGCGGAAAATGTGTACAATGAAAATTCATACTTTTAAGAAAGCATGTACTTAAGTTGCACCGTTATAAACACACTGGCAGAAATTATGCACAAAAAGAATGCGACTTATATACTGAGAAACACGGTACCCTGAAGTTCAAGACATTTTGAAATGCAGCTGTTCGATTTATGAGCCGTGATGACTCTTCTCTGTGCAGATACAAAAATGAACACAAACTTGGGTTTAGCTCCATTACAAAATCGAAAATTGCACGCTTATATTTCGCTTCTCACACAAGGTTTTGGGACAGCTCCGAAAGTAAGCCATCTTTCTGCAGCCATTCTTCCAATGTTCATATCTGCTAGGAGAAGCACTAAAATATCAACCGCTTCAGGTCTCGCGCTTACTTGTGACTGGAATGGACTGACTTTGTCATTGTCACAATTCTTAGCCGTCGATATTTGAACAAAAGCGCGAAAATTTATATTGTATAAATATACCCGTGGGAAAACATTTTGAACGTTTGCTTTCTAACTTCTGTGTTCCCCACTGTGCCTCCTTTTTGGTTGCTGGCATTGCGAATTCTGAATATTACTTCGACTTCAACTTTATTTTCTCTCCGGGGGAGAGGGCGAAAGGAGAAAAAAAAAAGCAGACTGTTGTCGTTTGACAGTGTTTCTTCTCCCCACCAGCAACAAGATATACTATTTTAACTATTAATGACCCGTAAAACAAAGGCTTACATAGGAGCAAAACACGCAACATTAAACAGAAAAAAAAGAAGATCTGGCATACATCACGGGCATTTCTTGCAGGTCGTACGTCCCATCAAGAATAGGCACAAAGAACACTAGAGAAACAATGAACGAATATCCTTTCTGCTCAAACTCATCAAATCTGTGCCAAATCTATGCGTACTATTTATAACATTAGGCAACGAATACCGCAGCATCTGGAGGTCATAGCCTGTTCTCGAGCGAAGCATTGACTGATCCCTGATCTTTTTAATCGCGCTAATGCAGCTAAAACTGCACCCCAAGTATGCTTTCGTACGCCCGGGACGTTTCTATCAAAAGGCTTTCCCATTCCTGTGTTGCTACCTTATTATACCTTTCAGTAGTGTCTTCACTCATTTCGACTACGTCTTAATTGGGCGGTTCACACCATCTGACAGCAGAGATAAAAATACAGTCTGATTGGACGCGCAATATAAAGAGAGTGCAAGCTTCCGATTGGAATTGACGAAGTTTTAGAACACGCCCCTCTTGTAATTGCCGGTGAAGAGCAGCGAACTGTAATTAATGACGACCCAATGCTGTTATCGCAGGTAGCGATCCACTTATAAAGCGTATGATCGTGATAATATTTAATTTAAAAAAAAATCACAAATCAGCATCTGGCTAGAGAGTACGACAAAAAGCCAAAACTGAAAGCTAGTTTTTTTTTTTTGTGTTCCTTGTTAATTAGAGGGAAGAAAGATTGAACGCTATGTTTCCAGGGAACGACCTGACGCACGTGAATTGCGAAAGCCTCCTCGGTGACATAGGTTGGGGCGTTCATCACTCGAAACCTCGTCGAGGGACTGAGGCCGTCAGCCTCGGATCTGCAGTGATGAGGGGACGGACATATCGGCGGCCGGCAAATGGTCCACAGCTCGGGCAATGAACCGCGGGTGACGTACAGCCACATCGACGCCGGGCACACGAAAACGGGGGGGGAGGGGAGGGGGGGGGGGGGGGGGGGGACAGTTTCAGCGCTTTCTTCGAAGACATTGATTAGAGGCGTTCGGTCACGGTTTTTGTTTTTCCCTTTTTCTGTTTGTTTTTTCTTGTTTGTTTGTAGAAGTGTTTACGTGTCGAACAAGGACTTACTTTTTCTCGAGGCTAAGCGGAAAAACGCAAAATAAAATTCTATAAAAAAAAAAAAAAAAAGACGCGAATGCAGTCAAGAGGTGCAAAACTTTCAGGATATAGGTTGTACGGTACCTCCAGGAGTGTGGGACGTGTGAACTTCCAGATAATATTTGCAGGGTTTAACGCGTTGATGAAACAATATACGGCAAGAACATACACGCAGTTCTCTGTTACACATTAAAAAAATTTGTCCCTCTCTGAATGACGCGACTTCCCCAAAAAAGCTCGAGGGCAGAATCCTAATTAAGCCATATTAATTGCTAAGGACAAATTGGATGTCCGGGAGAGTGGACCTGGGAAGGAGGAGGCAAAGCTTCAGTCTCAAAATTGGTCTCCGGGGTGCAGTTTCCTCTTTTTTGAATTACGAAGTTAAGGTAAAACAGAGCTGGTTTTCGGGTCTTTGACTGGATAACTGGCCTACTGGAGGTCAGCAGTCCCATTTCACAAACAATCTACTTCTCAAGCGTAAAGCATACATGGTAACAGACAGAAGCAACCGTAAAACAAAACAAGGATTTACTGACGAGATTGCGTACGCAAACTTGCCGCCCCTTGGCTTGGCCAGAGATGCATGCTGCATGGCTCTCACCTGCGGGCAGCGGGAAGACCTCCGGCTTGAACTGGTCCCTGACCACGATCAGGAGCAGTCCAAACGAACCGTGCAGTCCGTGAGTAATGATGTGCACAAGCAGCACGCATACGCAGACGACCCATCCCCAGCCTCCCTCAGGGTAGTAGTGCTGCCTGATGGTGGCCACGGAGGACTTCTCCAGAGCCGCCTTGGACACCCCGGGTACGTCGCCCTCGCGGGCTTCCCTGCGGATCGCGTCGAGCACGCACGACATGCTGGGCGACCGCCGCACAGCCTCGTTGCTCTGGATGCCCTGGCTGATGTAGTAAGGGCTGCGGGGATCGCTGGACACGGCCGACTTGGAGCGGTACTGGCGCCGACGAGGCGGGCACTGCTGTTGGGACCGACCCGGGCGCTCTTTGCCTGGAGGACACATGTCGCCAGGTCCGAGCTTCTGGCCAGCCGTGGACGTGGACGGCTGAGGAGGAAACAGCTCCAGCCAGGAGGGACGCTGCTCCCCATCCTGCTGCCGGCTCTGGGCTCGGGGCTCGGCCGTGGACGTGGATGGTTCCGATGCCAACTCTGGCTGGGAGGCCGCCGCGGTGTTTTCAGCACCGTCATCCTCCTGCCTCCGGGGCGTGGGTTCAGGGTCAGCCGTGGACGTGGACGGCTTGGGCGTCAGCTCCGGCTGGGTCTCCGGGGGCGCTGCGGGCATGCTGCGACGCGACGGCCCGCATGGTACGGCTGGGAAGCGTGTCGGGCTGGCCCAAGTACGGCGTGGCGACCTGGGGTCCTACCGATGCCCGCCTGGTCGGGTTCCGAGCCGCCGCGCTGCTCGCTACCGCTGTCTGAGCGCCGCTGGGGCCGACTGAATCGAACGCGGCGGCGGCTCCTGCTGCTTGCTGCTCGCGCGCGCGTGAGTGCTTTCGGCGTGCGTGGGTTTGTCCTCCTCACCCCCTCGCGAGTCTCTCCCCCTCTCCTCCTTGCCCGCCGTGGTTGTGGTGCGGAAGGGAGGAGACGGCGCTAGTTCGGGCCCTTTGGGCGCGCGCTTTTTGGGGATCCCCCCACTTTTTTTGTGCGCGCTTCGGACCGAACGGTGCGCGTGGTGCGGTTGTTGCGGCGTCTGTGTGTCCGCGTGGAAAGGGCGCGCAGGTTCCGGAAAATTAGCGCTCTTCTTGTTGCTCGCTCGTGCCGCCGTTGCGACTCCCGCTGCGTGAGGCCGCACGGCCGTTCGCCTCAACACTTCGAAGGGCGCCGGTATTTATAGGCCAACTTATTGCGGGTGGCTGCTTACCGGCGTAGCTTCCACGAAACGGCGATTTATTTTAAAGGCTGCCCTATCGGGATAATAGGGCATCCCCGTGTACGCTGATATATATATATTTTTTTTTCAATTTTATTTATCTTTACGTTTATGTAGTTTCTTTCTGCCGTTCTTTTCTCTTGGGCTCGAAACACGTGGAGGCCACGGGGTGAGGCGTGACCCCATCAGGACCGTCTGCCTCGCGCAACGTCATGAGTAAAGTGTTACAAATATCGCGAAAACAAAAAAAAAAGTTATATTTAGAAGGCAAACTAGCTCGTACCGCTATCAAGTTTCTTTTATACTCTGCTGCATTTTTTCAAGATCATTAGAAACACGAGCAGTAAATATTTGAAAGCTATCTGAAAACAACCCAGCGAACTTGTATCGTAGTGTTGCATTCCTTACAAATACACCTTTCTTTTTTTCATCCAAAAAACACCACGATGAAGTCGTACAATCAACGGGCACCTAATGGACTCCTAACGAAGTAGATGACTTATTCGAAAACTCGAAGTCTCATCGCGGCCTAATGCCACGTTATGCATTGTGGGAATCAGTGGGAAGCAAAATCCATGCGGACTTCGCTCCTGGCATAGTGTCGTGATGTCGACGAGTTAGTTTATGGTAAATGGAAATAAACAGGGCGCAAAATTAGACAAGGACGAAGGGAAGATGCGAACGACACAAGCGCTGCACTCACAGGTAAACATTTATTGAAAAAACACTAACGAAGTAAACCGCATTATCGCTTCAGCACGTGTCAAAGTAAGCAATTTGTTTTTTTGTTTTTGTTTTTTTTTTGTGAAGAAAACCGATATTTGGCTGACGCCTCCAATAATTTTCGGGTGGTCTTATATGTGCCTCTCCAGATTATGGTGTTGTGGAATTTGGGCTGGCATTTATAGGCAGCTCAATGCAGAGGCAAGTGACCCCCTGCGGTCGACCGGAGTGACCAGTCAAGTTCACGGCCCACAGCAGTGGCGTACACAGGGGGGGGGGGGGGGGGGGGCCGAAGGGGCCGCGGCCCCCCCCCCCCCCCCCCCCCCCCGAAATTTCCGAGGGGGGGGGGGCGAGTCGGCGAGATTACTGACTCTCGGGTTTATCAATATCAAACTTCGTGGAGAAGTTGTAAAACAAAAAAAGGAAATAAAAAAGGAAGAGAATGCAATATGCCATTTATGACATAGTAAAAATAATAAAATTGTTTAGTTTTAACATCTTTTATCTAATATGACTGGAAAATAATCAATTAACGAATATTTTTCTTTACTTCTACTTTTATTCTTTCGCGAGTGCCCCATGCCCCCCTCGCGGAGCCGCCGGGGCTGGTTTGTCGTCGCAACAGAGCGGCCCCCGTGTCCCCTGTCTTAATTGTTCCTCGAGGACCCCGCTCTGGGTGCGTACCATGCGCTGTGCCTCGCTCGAGCGCAGCAGGGCCCCTCGATGTTTTGTAGCCATTTTTTTTTATATTGAGAAGAAGCGTCGGTACTGCTCTTGCACCCCGACGAGGGATTTTTCCTTGAAGCGGTTTCCGGCTGACGGTCGACGGCGAAGGTTTTTACGAGTTTTCGGGGGTCTATGCACGTGTCCTTTCTTAATTTGATTGTGTTTGTTTTGTACCGCGTGGCCCCCATTGGTCTAAAAAGAGCGATATCTGATTGGCTCCTCGGATGGCGGGAAAAGTTTTAGAAAAGTGAATATAGGCGCTTAAAGAAGGCGCGGGATTTGCGGTTCAAGGTTCGAGTACGGAAGTTGTCATCGGCAGTTTGAGAACCGCGCGAGATAGGGGCGCGAGTGTGCGACCTGCTGCCTCAGAACGAGAGCCAAGTGCAATATGTGCGTGTGTAAACCATTTTACATCGTGCCTTTGTTGCGTTGTGTGACTTCCTTGACTTTCTTTTGTGAGCGGACTTCGGAAACCTTAGAAATCGACACCAACGAACAAATCACGTGAGATTTTTGTTGGTTAGATCAGGTTAAGATAGGGAGTACTTTATGGTGGAGCGGCTTTCCAGTGCTTATCGTCTATCCATCAAGATGTTCCGCGTTTCTACTTATGCATCATTGTTTTATTAGCCCCGATGACTGGAGGCTTTGTGCATTGGAGTCGTGCTTCATAAAATATTTGTTTTTGTGATTCTTGTTTTCTGCTTACTCTAGTGCCTTCTTTTGACGTGACTTGTAAATGACAAAGTAAAATGCAAATGCCTTCCTGGTGGGGAATTTCCGGGGCATCATTTTTATGTATCACAATCATCCCAAAACCAATATGACAACTTTATTTTAATTACTTAATAGAATAATGCATAGTTATTAGAAAAAAATGAACATGCTTTTATTTTCTCTTGGACTCTCTTCTTTTTATCTTGTCCCCCTTTACTGTCGTTGGTCCGGCCCCCCGCGAAATGAAATCCTGCGTACGCCACTGGCCCACAGGTTCCCAGAATGTAACGTGCGCGGTGACGGATTTATGGAAATAGTCTATTGGCTGGTGCTACGCGGTTGCTACTTGCCTTATATTGCGATCACTGACTTCTTCCCTTGACATTTGCGGTGGCCAAAATTGTATTGTAAATCCAAAGCGAAAGTTGTAAAAACAAATGTATACACACTCTCATATTTCAAAAGAAAGAAAAGAAATTTGTCTCGTAATTATGGCGCCAATTAAAACAACAAACAAATATTTTTCCTCATTAGAACGTTCCTTCCAACGGACAGTCGTGTGCACTCCAATAAAAATTCAGTCTGTGAATAACAACTAACGTGTAGTTTTACAGTGAAAGAAACGCCCCAAAAGAAAAGTAGCGTTCGAAACATAGACAGTTCGCTGAGGCGTTTGGTGTACAAACGTCACATAGCTAACGACATGGGAGGAGTGTCCTACTGCGCCTGTTTGCAAACGGGCATGCATTCGCTCGATGATATTCCCGGAAATCAGTGACAATTCGACTCTCACAAAAGCCTTATTTCAATCTAATGTAATCATCCCGGGAAGTCGTCTTTTCTCTCTTTTTTTTTATTTCTTTCCCTTTATTCGGAATTAGACCAGGCTTCGTTTAATGCCGGAAAGCGTGCTGTTACAGTATTGATGAAACAAATCCCGTATTTACGACCGGTGCCGCCCTCTTTTACTACGAAAGGCGGTTTCACGACCTCTGAGGGAACCTGGGAGCGTACACAGCATTCTCTTCGTAACAAAAAAACAAAACAAACACGGTGGGCGTGATTGATTTTGAGCATGTTATCATTCCGCAGCCAATCAGATAGTACGGACATTATCTCGTAGTAGGGTCGTGCGAATATTCGAAATTTCGTATAGTAGTTCCGAATAATACACTATTCGATATTCGCTTCGAAAAGAACCGCACTTTTCGCGATTTTCGAAGTGTTGATTGCGGCGGGTTAGCCCCGTTGAATCCGCTTCTTACCAAGCACCGGTGCACTACGGGGAAGCCAAACCCGTGGGAGTGAGCTCCCCGGGTGTTGCTTCTCTGCATTACATCGGTGCTCGGTAAGAAGCGCACTTAACGGGGTAACCCGCCGCGATGAACAATATCGTAATTGCGTGCTTGGAAGAAAAACATACGTTCAAAGCGGCATGGTGCACCTGTGCCGACTGTATTTGAAAATAAATGGAAACTTTGTGAATTTGTATATCTAGAATCTAGTAAAAGTTTCAAAATTAAACTTTTATGCAAGAGTATACTATGTTAGGCAGAGATGCTTTCACAACCTGTGTTCATCATGCGAGATTGATTCTTTTTTAACTCGAAATTAAAGAAAGAATCTTTTATATAGCAAGATTTGTAAATTCACTCAATTGATATAGTTGGAAATCTCTATACGATTCATTTTACGTCAAATCCGTCATTTACTTGTCATCCCAAGACATCAGACCTTCTGAGGTCACAGTTCATAAATATGGATAGATTAAACTTAGCTTATAAATGAACAAGTGGAATAACCTTTACAAGTTTAGCTGGGATTTCGCCCAAGCATTATGCAATAGTAGTGAATGGCGTGAAAAAACTATTCGATAATCGAATCGAAAATATTCGGCCGAAACCACTATTTGCTTCGAATTCGCTTCGAACTTAAAAGCCACTATTCGCAAAAGACTATCTCGTAGGAGCGTCGAGGAACAAACCACGAAGCAAGAAATCAGATGATACTACGTCACGTCTTGCGTTTCTTAAGCTGTATGGATGGATGGTAATGGCTATACCCTTTGTAACGGGCGGCAGCTTGTGCCACCTAGCCAAACATTTCGTCATCCCCCCCTTTTTTTATAAATTTTGTTATAACAGATTCCCCCCCCCCTCCCCCCCCCCCCTTTTAAAGTGATCCCATTGCTTATTTTTATCTGTAGCTGTCGGCGACGATTAGTAGTGTTGACAGATGAAAAAAATGTATTGCCACATTTTGGAAATATTTGTGGTAATATGTTTTTAGCTATGTTTAATGAACTATGTAACGATTCACTATGCAAGACCAAACCTCGTGAGATCTGGAGAAAAGTGCCTCGTGACCCCAAGGAACTGAAAGCGTTGCCGGCGCTGCATTAAACTAATAAACGGTCGGTGGCGCACCGCTTGTTCCG